CTCTTTCTCTGTCACTTTACCATGTCCCTCCTTTTCGGGTGCTCAAGTGTTCAATCACTTTTAATCAACCAACACAACCCACTTCCTTTCCGGCCTCGCTGTCACTCCCTCTTCCCAACACTTTCCACCCCTGCTGACTCTGATTCTGGGCACACCCCTCTCTGAGTCCTTCCTGCAGTGTGCTGTCACTGACCTTTAAATGCCTGGTTTACACGAGCCCACGGATGGCTGGGCTTTCTCCCTGGTTCTTGATGCTGGGCCTACTTTGCTCAGTAAGGATTTGAATGATGGATGAATAAATGGTGGATGAGGGGATATGTGAATGTATGACTTGTTGACTTGAACTCAGGTAGAAACCACTTTCTACTCCCCTTCCCAGAGTATGGGAAGGGAATATGAAAAGCCATCTGTCATGACCTGCCCTTGACTTTGGACCAGAGCATGGCATGGTCTTGAACTGCTTATTCATCTGCTCAGCAATTGCTTCTAAACAAAGAAATATCCAGGAGGAAAGGATATAATGTTTTCTTTTTCTTCCAAAATGAACTTAAAGCAGTAAGTAGTATTAAGCCACAAATAAAACTGGGTGGTTTATTTAGCTTTTAAGAATTAAAAAGAGCAAGTTTCTCAGATATTAATCATTAACTATAGTTGAATGCTGAATTTAGCACCGAACTTCTAGTAGTGAAAAAATTCTTGTCTACTTAAGAGAAACATTTATTAAACATGACAGTATATGAGCCAGCAAGTTAAAAAATGCCTCTTTATCTGATCCCTTTACTGAAATATTTTAGTTGACTTTTGTTTTAACTAGGCATTCTGCCATCTGCAAATAATGATATTTTACATATACTTTCCCAACAGTTAGACTTCTTCCTTTGTAATTTATTGCAATTGCCCAAATCCCCAACCCAACATCGATTATGAAGTTCAATGGTAACCTTGTTCTGGTCCTCTCTAAAAATTTAAGTAATACATTCATGTGGTTAAAAACACGAGGTGGAAGGCTCCTAAGAAACAGCTGTTCCTTGTCCCTCTCCCGCAGTTTCTCTCTCTGGTGGCAATCTTTTCCAACTATCTCTAGCTATCTCTTATTTTAATTAATGTAATTTTATCTTTTCATAAATATACTTTTATTGATTTCAGAGAGGAAGGGAGAGGGGGAGAGAGAGAGAAACATCAATGATGAGAGAGAATCATTGATCGGCTGCCTCCTGCATGCCCCCACACTGGGGATCCAGTCTGCAACCCTGAACGGGAATTGAGCTGTGACCTCCCGGTTCATGGGTTGATGCTGAACCATTGAAACACACTAGCAGGACTAATGCATGTAATTTTCAATGCTATGCTTTTACTTCTTCTGTAGTAATTTTAGATATTGCCTACTTGACTCCTTGTTATGGAAGATGATGATTCAACTCTCTTATACCTGCTCTGCTTTATGCCCTCATCCTCGCCACGTGTACAGTATATGCCATATTTTAGAAATAAAATCCATATCCAGTCTTCGTTACTTGTGCATGTAATAGCACCCTGTTTCTAACCTTTCTGCCTACATTCTAGTCTCGGCACAGCCACCAGTGGGCTCCTTCTAAAATGCAAGGACAGTCTTTGTCACTTCCCTGCTTCCAACCTTACTGTTACTCAGGGTAAAAGCCCAAATCCCTAAAATACCCTAAGGCCTGCTTTCATTACCTTCTGATCTAGGCTTTTCCTACCCTTTCCTTTGCCCACATCTTTCCAGCAATGATGGTTTTCTTGCTACTTGTCAGCCATACTCTTACCTTAGGGTCTCTATTGGGGCCCCTAATATTTGTATGGCCAACATTCTTACCCTCCTCTCAACCTACCCCTCTTGCCTCCCCTCAGAATTTTTAGGTCCCCTCCTTCTGTTCAAACTTTTAATGTTTTTAAGTCATATTGAAATCACTTACTGATTATGTAGCATTTTATTGTCTGTATCTCTGCTCCGGCTAGACCAGGAGCTCCATGACCCCAGGGGCCTTCATTTTGTGTACTATTGTATGTCACACCTAGGAGAGTGCTTAGCACATAGTAGTTGCTCAATAAATTGGAAAAGTGAGTGCATCAATATGATGACTTAATCTGACACACTGCAGGGCCAAATGCAGTAGCATGCTGAGGTCATCTTCTTTCTTGCCTAGTTTTCTTTTTCTCCAAGAGTTTATAGCTGCCCTTCCCTTCTCTAATCTCATCTGTCATCCATATGTCCTTCATCCCAAATGCTCTGTAATACCAGAATGTTGTTTTTAAGGAGAATGACTGAAGTTAAATTTTGGCTTTAATTAAATATTTCTTTTATCATTTTAAGAGAGCATTCTTATACTGTTTTGAACACAGCTTTATTAGGATGAAATTCACAGATCATGCAATTCATCCTTTGAAGGTATACAATTTGATTCTGTTACAAGCTGGGTTGTGTCCCTCCACCCCCAACTTCATTTGTCAAAGTGCCAGCTCCTAATACCTCAGAATGTAATTATACTTGGAGGTGACGAGTAAAAATAAACCCTTTAGATGGGACCTTAATCCCATGCGACTGGTGTCCTTATAAAAAGAAGAAGAGACCCCAGAGGTGCGTGTGCACAGAAGGACGGCCATGTGAGGACAAAGCAGCAGGAGGGCAGCCATCGAAAGCCAAGGACAGAGGCTTTGGAAAAACCCTGCCCTGATGTCAGATTATCGACTTCTAGCCTCCAGACCATAAGATAAGAAATGTCTAAGTATCCAGTCTGTGGTATCTTGGTATGGCAGCCCTAGCAAACTAATAGGTGGTTTTTTGTATGTTCACAACAATGTGCAACCCTCACCACAGTTCATTTTAGAATAATTTTATCATCTCAGAAAGAAATCCCGTATCTTTAAGCTATACTACCTCCTGCCTTCCTCACCTATCCCAGCCCTGGGCAACCACAAACATACTTTCTGTCTCTATAGATGTACTATTCTGGAAACTTCATATAAATGATATCATCTTCTAGCATGTAATAATTTATCACCTCATTTGATTTGATTTTTATTGAAAAATTCATGTCCATAAGGGGAAAACTGAACATAGGGGTGTGTGTATGAGTGGATAGCCTAATCACAATTAAAATTGAGACTGTTATTTCCTTTTATAGTAGTTTAGTTAGTTTGTTTTTATTTCCTTTTTTTTTTTTTTTGAGGAATGACAGGTAGTTAGGCTTCTATTGGAAAATTTGGAGAGTTTTGATCTAAACGAGTTTATCCAGTTGTGTTTGTGCGGTGTGTGAACAGTTTTCAACATATTTCGTTACTGGATATTTAAATTTCTTCTTTCCTATTGTGCCTATTTTGATTACATTTTTAGGATGAAAACATGGAAAAGTATAAACAGTATAGATCTGGATTTGAATTTCAGCTGCATCCCTTAGTAGCTGGGTGGCCTTGGGCATATAGTTTCATTTCTCTAAACTTCAGTCTCTAAACTTCAGGGAGGACAGATATTTATCTCACAGGGTTATCGCACGTACACAAAACACCCAGTACTGTGACAAGGTGCATAGTCGGTACTTAGACAATCCCCTCACTTTTGAAAAAATACTTTATTTCACCCAGCCAGTATGGCTCAGTGGTTGAGCATTGATCTATGAACCAGGAGGTCATGGTTCAATTCCCGGTCAGGGCACATGCCTAGGTTGCAGGCTTGATCCCCAGTTTGGGATATGCATGAGGCAGCCAATCCATGATTTTCTCTCTCTCCCTTCCTCTCTGAAATCAATAAAAAATATATGTTTTTAAAAAAATACTTAATTTCAAATGGAATTTAAAAATAATTAGCATTTAACTGTGCAAAGTGTTTCCTGATACATTTTTTTCCCCCAACTTCATTATCTTGGATACTCTATTTCCTGCCTCATTTATAATTTTATTAGCTTTTTAATTAATTTGCTATCTGTTGGACATTTGTTAGTCTTTTAAAACAAATATTTTTGGTTATATAAATCACTTTCTAATTTCTTTATTATACAACTAATTAGTTGTTTATTTTGCCACATTGACTTTCTTATTCTCCTGTGGGTTTGTGTTTTTTTTTTTTTACTCATTTCCTTATCTTATAAAATAGGGTAAGAATTTAGTTAATTTCTTTCATTCTTTTAAAAGAATGAAGACAAGTAAAGCTATACACTTTTCTCCAAACACTGTTTTGATCCTTTCCCATAGATTTTGACCCATGATTGTCATGCTCTGTATATTCTGCCATTGGATTCTGAGCACATGATTAGAACCAGACTTTCAGAGATGGACCAGAAGCAGGGAGACGAGAAAAAGAAGCCGTCACAACCATAAGCTGAAAGGCTATAGACAACTGCCTAGTCTGAATGGGCGTCAAAATATCAGGTCTAGAAATGCAATCAACCAATACCAGCTGAGTGCCTACTATGTGCTGAGCACTGTTCTCCCCAGTAGTTTTGCCTGTTATCCCCATAATGCCCACAAAGTGTTGTGACATTCGTTTCCTTTCCTTTCTTCTGCAACTGAACATACTGGAGTAGTCAAACGGCTTGCCCAGGACGTAGAGCAAATACAATCCATTTCTTGGGAATCCCCGTTGGGTAGTCTCTTTACTGTTATATCATGTTATGAACCTCCTACAGGCTTATTTAGGGGCCAACTCCTATTCTTCAGAATGTCAATGATGAGCATTGCTATCTTTTACTTAACTCTTGGGTACAGAAATGGTTTTTTCTTACTTTGCAGTGTTACCTAAGAGAAGGCATTGGTGACAATGACAGCAGTTTTACCTATAGGAGAAGGCTTACATGTAGAAGAGCTTGCTGATCTATTTCAAAAGACTCCATAGGCCAAGCTAAGTAAGAACAAAGTGCAGAATATTAATTGTAGCTACAGTTAATTAAATAACTCCTATGTGCCAAGCACTCCTCTTATAAAAATGTTATATGCATTATTTTAACTAATGCTTACCATAGTTATGAGAGGTGGGTATTATTATTTTTATTCTCTCTTAGTTATAGATGAGCACATTGCCACTCCAACGTGTTAAGTAATTCATCCCAAGTTGCAGAACCAGGAAGTGGAACAGATGGCAATTAAATGCAGGTTATCTGACTTCAAAACCCCAAACCTTATCTTTTTCTCTTAATTGCCTCTCCTTGGAGCCAAAAAGGGCAGAATATTAATCAATATGAGAGAAAATATTAAGAATGTGCTGCTTCAAGAGTTGGTGGGCCATTTGCTGCTGGCAGGATCCAAGCAGAAGCCACAAAAACAAGGGGGAATGCATGACCTGCAGCCACAGGCACTGACCCTGAAGAAGGCCAGAGAATTTGTTGCAAACAGGAAAGTGTGTGGTAGAAACATCAG